GGAAATATAAGTTCTACTCATATCACTGTTGGAAAATTGAACTACCGGTCCTTCATCAGCTTAAATAATATTCGATTAAAACAGTTTTAATTCAAGATTTATTGTTGATCTCGAAAGTTTGAATCAAAACGAAACTAGTATAATTAAACTTGACCTCATGATTAAAAATCTACTTATATGGGAAATGAGTAACGTCGTCGATTGCTATGGCAATCATATATTAGCTTGTATGTTTAAGGTGATGAAAGAAAGACATTTGAATTTTTCCACAATCATATGACTATACCTCACGCTTTCATTGAACTTAACATAATCCTGAAATCACCACTGCAAGAAAGAGTGCTCATAGGATACTTGGATGACTACTTTGCACTTTGGTCACATGGTAAGGAAAATCTAAATGAATTCCTCAATTTTATTAACCAAATGATGAAGGAATTAAGTTAACAATGGAGGTGGATGAAGATGAACGATTACTCTTTCTGAATATTGCAGTCATACGTTCCAGAGGGACACTCATGAGGAAACTATACAGAAAGAATTCGTATGCGGGAATAAGCCTTAATTTCAAGTCTCATAATAACTAAGGACTGAAGATCGGAATACTGAGGAGTTTGATCATCAGAAGCTTACGACTAACGGACAAAGAGTTCTGGGACGAGGAGTTGGACAAACTGACACGGAATTGTCTAAGTAATGGATACCCTAGAGAATTTATAGAGAAAAATGTAGAGGTGATAACTGGCCTATTTCAACTTGGATTATATGAAAATCAGATCAGGAATGAGGATAACAACCATAGGTGGATTTGCTTGCCCTCATTACAACTGAGCCAACAACTGCAACCGTTACTAAGGAAATGGAATATCAAGGTGACAACAAAGGAGAAGAAAACACTTTTCACCGGCCTACCAACGAAAACGAGAAGACGGATAAACTTGAGTGTTCGGGAGTTTATCGCATCAAATGCGGCAACTATAAGCAGAAGTATATCGGTGAAACAGGAAGAAAAATCGGCGGGTGAATCAGATGCTACTCGTAGTCTCGAGAAAGGTACTCATAAAACGAGAAATAGACCTTGTTTGCCTCGAATGCTGCATCTGTCTCATTCAATTCTAATACTCTTGTGGGTCACGCACATGTCTTTGGGGAAATAAGCATCTTTCAATCCTTTCCGGAACTTAAGCAACCTGGGATTCTACAAATAGCCTTGGGACAAATTCATCACGTGTAAAATTTGATGAATTTTGTGTGTATAACTATAATTAGAAGCATAGCATGAGCAACCTCACTGGTACTCTTGATTGAGTGGTAGACTAGTGAACGTTGCCAGGATACTCACGATCCGGGTTCGAATCGAGTTGGGGTTGAACAGTGCAGTTCAGTCCAGTCTAGAAGGTATAGCTTTTCGGGTGGCAAGGTTAAGTGCGAGTTTATGGCATCGTGCGGTCTCCTCATCGGATCAGTAAATTGCTATTCAAGAATGACTATTTGACTCGCAGGCCATTTGTTCCTAAATTATGTCAAAATAGTTTCCAGCATTTAAAGTGAGTAATTTTGGAAACGATTCAATAATGCTTATTGGATGATGTCTTGCTCTGATGACGTCTGACATGGGTCAGACAGGATGTGAGTAATGAGGAAAGACAGAAAATGCAATTTTTAGGCTAACTCGAGGCTTTTTCAACATGTTGAGCTTACTTCCATTTCGAGTGGAAGTGTTGGGTGAAGAGATTCGAAGGTCCGTTCCACCAGAACACGACGGAGGATTCCTCTTGACCAGCTGTCGATTGGCTTTACAGAAAGATTCATGCTGACGCTGTTTCCGAGGCAATCTCCTTCGATTCCGGTGAAAAGGTGCTAAGCTTTTCTTCTTCTGGTGAAGCCGACCTTAGAATCTCTTCACCCAACACTTCCACTCGAAATGGAGGTAAGCTCAACAATTATGAAACAAGATATTCCTCGAAACCCAACTTTTCTTCGTATATTTGTCAACATGTCCAGACGACAGTCAGAACTAACAGGATAGTCTGTATTGATGAGGGCTTCTGCCGTGCACGACCGATCGGCCGGCCTGATTGTCTCGCCTCCGAGGCTGGTCGGTGTGGCAACGGAAGCAGCGGTTTGCCGACGTGGGGCCAGACGACGGTGCAACAGGCTCATCTGCTTCATCGGAAGACCCGTCTGGCCTCGACGCCTCAACGGTTTTCGGTAGAACAGGCTGACCGACTTCTTGAGGAGTCGAGGCAGCTGAAGGGGCGAGTCGATCAGACGATCCAAGTCTTGATAGGCCTCGATGCTGTGACCGGGTGCTGCGAGAAGTCCACTCGACGGGTTCGAGACCGTCGATAAAGGCAGAAGCGGATTGACGGAACTGATGGAGCCGACAAACCGAATCCCGGTCATCTGATAGTGCTTGTTCATCACCGCCTGTATCTCTTCTGTGAGACAGCGCGGCCTCAGCCAACCGGCTCCCGTCGCCACGACGTTCACCCTCGAGACGAGACCTCGACCGCCGCCAGCGCCGACGAGACAACCACCGGCCAGGCTCGAGTCGTCTGCCGTCTCGTCCGAGAGGGTGGAGTGCGTGGCGCGGCAGAAGGCGGCTCGGCCAAAGCTGATCGCCTGTCGAAAGTGATCCGCCACTCGAGCGCCTGATCGAGCCCCGGTCGCCACAGACTGGGCCACATCGTCGGGGCCACCCTCTTCGGCGGTACCATCGTTGATGGTGGCCCCTTCACCCGAGCTCTGGTCATTCACAAGCCGCGCTCGAGCCTGGCCTGCTTCAGGCGACGGCGGCGCTCGATCGCCGGACTGCATGACCTGCATGGCCCGCATCGAGGACATGCTGGCCGAGGCCGGACATGCGTTGGTCGAAAGAAGGGTACTCGCTATGTTGGTACCCTTGGCTGGACTGCAAGATGGGCCGACATGTGAGCAAAAGGGATTTGAGAAGATGGACAATCATGCCGGTAGGCGGGAGAAGAAGCTGTCAAGACGTTGGTAAGGCGTGGTCACCGACATGGTGAGGCCGAAATCGAAGTGTGTGAAAGTTCACTACAGAAGGAAAGCACCTCGATTCATACAATGGGCCAAAGGGATGACCGGCAGAAAGTAGAAGGGAACATTGCTGACCCTGTTGACCTCATCTAAATAACACTATTCTACAAACTCATCATTCCTATCGAACAAAGAGTAGGCAATGCTAGATGTAAATTTTCATATATATGTATATTTATATATATGTATACATACATACATACATACATACATACATACATACATACATACATACATACATACATACATACA